CCCCCCCGCCCCCTCCCCCCCGCCGGCTCCAAGCCCCTCGCTCGCCTCACTCACGCTGGTCCCTCCCAGTAGCTGGTTTTTGGGACACCCATCGTTCCAGCCCCAGTGGCTGGTGGCCGAGACCCCCACCTGCTCCGGTAGCTGGCACTGAGACTCCCACTTGCTCCAGTTGCTGTCACCACAGGCCTGGGGCACCAACACCCCCAGTCTGATTCCAGTAGCTGACCACAAATCCACCCATGCTTGTCTCCCCAGTAGCTGGCACCTAGTCCTTGCAGTCCTCACACACATGCACACACATACCCTCAATTGTGCTGGTCCCTTCCAGTAACTGATTTTTGGGACACACATTGTTCCCACCCCAGTGGCTGATGGGTGAGACCCCCCACCTGCTACAGTAGCTGGCACTGAGACTCCCACTCGCTCCAGTTGCTGACACCATTGACTGGGGGCGCCTACACCCTCAGTCTGACTTGATTAGCTGGCACCAAAGCCACACGTGCTGGTTCCCCCAGTAGCTCACACTCCAAGCACAAAGTCTGTAGAACCCTCCCTAGATCCAGAGAGCTATGGCCCCTCCAACTACTGACTCTAGGACCCTCACTTGTTCCAGTAGCTGACACCACAGGCCGTGGGGTGCCTACAGCCCCAGTCTGACTCCAGTTGCTGGCCCCAAATCCACTCACACCAGTCTCACCAATAGCTGGCGGTTAGTCCTTGCAGCACACATACACATGGGATAGAGAGTGAGATTACACAGAGACAGTTAAGAAAAGATTTACTAAGAAGACAGATAGAACAGACTGCAGTGATCAGGCACAGGGCATACTGACCAGCCCCATTTTATACCCCTTTCTATCTAACACCCTCTTTGTTCCTTCCCCCTGCATGTTCCTTCATCGATTTGTATAGTTCTATAGATTCCTTCACCCTTCCCAGTCCAGTGTCCAGGATCTCCCCTGGTTTACAGTCTTATCAATTGTAAAGTTCTGGTTGGTCTTCCTGGAAGTGGCACCTGTAGTTTCTTGATAGCCCGTCAAGAAAGCCCAAGTATGACTGGCATGCTTTGCTGCTTGTTGTTGTCTCCATGTTTGTTTTGTCAGGTCTGTGTCGCTGTATATTTGGTTTTTTGTCTTCTCCTTATCATCCCAATTTAGGAGTTCCTCGATCAGATAACTTTGCTGGAATAAGCATTCTCACACTCTCACATACGCTTATCATTTGGTGTGACTGAGCAGGTTTGGTTCTCGTCACTGCCTCCCTTATAATTTCTCGGTTAGGTTTGTGTCCCTGTATGTTCTCGTTTATGGTTTCCTCCTTTTCTTATTATCCCTTTTTTGCAGTGAAAAGGTCCTTGACCAGATAACCTTAAAGGAGCAGACACTCTCCTTCCATGTACCCTTACATTAAGGACTGTTTTTATCTTTCAGATAGAAAATAATTTCTTTTCAAACTTATAGAAGGAAATACTTTAAAAAGTATTAAAAATACTTTTAATAATATTAAAATACTTTTAATACTATTAAAAATACTGTCTGTAGTATACTCCATATCAAACTTTCAGCTAGGAATTGCTACAATTTCCAGGGAGGGGAAGGGGAGTGGCTGCAGCATTTCAGTATTTTTTAAAAAATCCACATTTTTCAAAGTCTGAGCTTATAAACAGGTAGATCATAACACAAACTTCACTCCTATGGTTATTATGCCACCCATTATAATAATTTAGCATAAATGACAGTAGAACCAAAAGCATACAAGTCATACTGGTTGCCAACTACAGTTTATCCACTTGTGGCTTTTTTACCTGAATGTTTCCTCTTGGAGGTGCTCTAATTGGGTCTGCAGCTGCAAGTGCCTACGACCTGCAGGGCTGTTGGGATCTTCTATAGAATCAGATTGATTCAAACGTTCCATCAGAATCTGGTTCTCAGCAAGTAAAATGCTCTTCTCCTCTTGAAGTGCTGCAACCTGTTGTAATAAAAGAACAGACTGGAATAATGGAGCTGTCAGATATAAAGAACAATTTTTTGGTGCACACAGTAAAACATTAACACAACTCATAACTGGAAACATTGAAGTTCACAAAACTGTATTTCACAGGAACATATTGTAACTTTAATACTTTTTCATTTGATATGTGATATAACCAATGTACTACAGCATTAGGGACAGGATTTACCATAAAGAAAACAGTGTTCTTACCTTTATTTCTCAGAAATATCTAAAGAAAAATATCTTAGTTATCAAAGAAGATTATGTCACTGTATTAAAGTCTGCCTACTTTTCAAGCACCACCACCCCACGCACACACCCTAGCACCCCATAGTAAGGTTTTTTAACATGTTTTCCAAAGGAAACAATGTTTATACAATCACACAGAATATTCAAGTCTCTCATAGCCATGCCTCTCCAAGAAATTTTTTAATCCAATGGCCAGTTGCAAACAGACTTGAAACAGGAACAGAGGTCCCAAAGATGATTAAATTTCTGCCAGCTTTGTGAAAACAGGCAGTGGGGCAGAGAAGCCAAAGTTCTGTGACTGGAAGAACATCTGAAGCATAAGCTCATATTATTAGACACTACACAATCAAAATGCAGGTAGGAGGAGAAAAGAAAGAATGTAAATATCCAAAGAGAAAGGAAAGTTTTGATCAGAACTTGCATCCGACACAACAAAATCAGCCAACCAATTTGTCAAACACAAATCAATAAGGCATAAGGCTTCATTAATTCCGGTTATTACTGCTTGGCTAAAAGCCAAATTATACACCAAAACAGGAATTGATTGAAATGGCTCTTTTGGGTTCCAGGTTTAGTCTGTTGATGCCTTCCAAATCAGATATGCTCAGTTTACAGTAAAACTTAGTTTATGCACAAGTGATTGTCTAGAGTAACTTTGATTTGGTTGTAACTTTTTACTGAAATCATTATATCAGCAGAACTCCTCCTAGGATTTCTGTAACTCATGAACTGAGCAATGCAGTTCATTTCTTGCTTGAATGCAAAAAAGCTTTGTCAGTACCAATCACCTTAATGCTGACATCATTGAATCAATACAAGTAGGCACGCACTTTTTACTCTGCTAACATGGGTAAAGAAATACAGCAACTGAGGATTTTTTTTTTTAAATATAAAAGGTAGATTTCCACAATAATCCCTTTCTTCAGCTGTCTAAGAATTAACATACTTTTTTCTCGATTTGAAGATGACCTACCTGCATATCTAACTCATGACATCTCTGGGCAATTTCTTCTTTTGTTGCTAGGGCTTCATGTAATTCTTCTGTAGTTTTCTTCAGCTATCATAAACAACAATGATTTTTAGTTTCATAATTATATGTCTCTATAAATGATATAGCAAAATTATGAATTATATGATTGTAAACTATTTTTTTACATTTATGTAATATTGAAGTTTGGGGAAAAAAGAAAAGCAATTCTGCTTCTACAATGAAACAAAGTAGCAACTGTAATCATTGTTTAATTTGTCTAACAAAGGTAAATATAGCTGAAGGTAATATTAGGTCTTGAAACAAAACATTGAAGTTATCACATTTATTCTGTAAACTGAGGCCCCCCCAAAACCAAACAGCCTAGCTCTGAAGAATCTATTGCCTCTGTACACTGAAAAAAAAGCATCAATACCACTTTTCTTTATGGATGCAAAGAATACATGATTTCAGTTTTTAATCTACTTTTCAAATACACAAAAGATTGGGAGGTAGAATACAAGGAATAAACAGTTAAGCTAAAACTTGTCTAGTCACTGGGAACTACTCTTACTGTACAACAGGGGAAACAAGCAACATTGTGATGGAGAAACCTACCCATCTGAAAAAAGACACTGAATCTTATAAGCAGTGTGGAAACATTCAGTTACATCTCTTTAAGTGACTATATAATAACTAAGAGACTTATATCTTCCAAGTTTCTGTATGAATGTAGTCAGGGAAATAAAGAAATACCTACAAGAAAATTGGTCTGATAAAATATGCACATAGTTAATGCATATGTATATATTTTTTTATGCATAATAAATTTTAGATGGGCCTTCTACTTTTCACAGACAGGATCATAATCTTTCATTTTTTAAGTTTACAAGGGACAGCTGACATAAGAATTAATTCCATCTACCAGAATTTATGTACTTCTACAGATAACTGTAAAAACAGTCAAGTTTTATTTTGTATCTATTATTCAAATTTTCCACAAAACTCTCCCACAAAAGAAAAGGTAGACTGCTTAACAATGAACCATAATGATTAGGCACTGATTTCTTGTGATTAAAGGAAAGAAACATCTCATCTTAGATACCTGACGTTCAAGGTCAATGTAAGCATCATTTCCAAAAGACACTGGAGACTCTTTACTCATCAACTGCAATTAGATTACATTGGATTAGAAAAAACATAAGATTTATTTGCATATTAAAGATAAGTTTCAATGAAAAATTAGGTTCATCTTAACCTGTAGGAAAGCTCTTTTTTCTGACAACAGTAACACTTTTTACTTCATTTTTATATGAGGTACATTAAAAAAGAATTACAGAAGGACATATTCAGGACTTATAATATCTAAAGTATGAAAACCATTACCTTACATAGTAATTCTCTCTTCTGAAAAAGCATATTCATTATCTATCATGAAAGCTACACTATCCTTTGCAGAGCACTGTATTGAAGCAGCATTAGACTGGAGGCAGCTATTATGTAGCAGACAAGATAGGTCTCAAATTGTTCTCTGGCAGTTGTTTTCATCTTTTCCCATTTTGAGAGCCCACATTCCTATTTTTGGTTTTGAAACATCTGTATCTCAAATAATTATAAAGAAATGAAAGAGGACCAAGCTTACTGCTCCCGATTTGTCTGGAATTTGCAATTAAAAATTTATAATCTAGAATGAGTATTTCTGAAACAAGCATTACAGTTCTTTGTAATCTGACTAATCTATCTGACTAGAAGAATGGTTTGTAATGGTTTTAGTGAGGAAAAAATTATTGTCAAGTCATTACTTTCTTAGAAAGCCCCAGATTGACTGACATGCTTATTGGGGGAAAAAAGGTTTTCTTTCAGGAACCTCACCCACTGATCAACTGCAACAGATAAATGGCTAGAAATAAATTTAAATGTTACACATGTTTTAAGACCAAAGAACCCCCTACCTATCCCCAGCAAACAAATTCTCATGTCAGGCTCAAAACAAGAGACAAAAAGACAGACATATGATTTGAAGGTTCTAGTAAGCTCAAAGAGGCTGAGCTCTGACTGCTAGCCAGTTTTATTAGCTCCCCTGATAACACACTAAGGGCAGCTGTAGACACAATACTTACTTACAAAACATCATCTCCTTGGAATGGATAGCCAAGTAACCCTGACACCAGTTAAGGTGAAGTTGATTGAAAGCAGTACCATAAGAAATTTTATATATATCTATATTACAGATATGTTGCAAATAACTCGAAAAGAAATGTTTTCGCTCCCTGAAGAAAAAAAAAAATCAACCACAAAACAAAAGTAAAATAGTAAAATATCCCAAAATTTAGGCAGGAAATCTGGCACTTGCCTGTTCCTGACAGCACTGACTTAAAGAGATAGAAAAAAGAAGCTGATCTAGCAGGAAGTTTAGGGATTCTTTTTTTTAAAAATCCTAATACTAAGAACTCTCAATCTGCATTTTTAGTCCTTGAAATGATTCCATAGTCATCCAATAGGATCTAAGACTGTTAGAATGCAGCATGAGTTAAAGAGATAACAAGTAGCAGAGCCCTCAGGCTCAAGTGACATCTTTTAGAGACGTAACAGAAAAAGGGAAATTGCTCTAGTGTTCAACATGGAATTAATAATTTCTTGCTCACATTCAGAAGCAATTTGATTACCAGTGAAGGCCTAGGAAGGAAAGGCATATTGACAAAGACTTAAGAACTGTTATTTTCTTCTGAACACTTGTCACACTTTCTTCTCAGAAAGTACAGGAAACTATTCCTTTTAACTATTCCCCTGCAGTAAACCTCCATCATGAAGTCTAACTGAGCACATGAGAAGTTACTCATGACAACATAGTGGTCACTAACACTAACCTGTAGTTTTCTTCTTTTATGCTTCCATCTGCATTGTTAGTGTAATTTATCAGTTAAAGAAGATAAAAAAACCCCTTTACTGCATACAGAAACTCACCAGGCTAATGACTGCTAAGCACAGCAGAAGAATGGTCTTTCCCATCACCATAGCCTTAAAAATAAATCAGGTTTCCTATTACTATCCTTAAAACATTTTTACAAAATACATTACAGTGGATTTATTAACATGCTACAAAGTATTATCAGGAATACCTTAACTAGTCTATTAATTTTGCTAATAACTGACAAAAGAATATTCTGCTGCATGTTTCTCTATTTCTTTTCATTTGTCCAGTTACAAAATTCAGTTGTTCAGATTTTTTTTTCCAATTATTAGATAGAGATTATTAAAAGCTTTTGAT